TAATACAAATGTAGCTTGTAAAAATGTCATGACATATTAGTATATGAAATGTATATGTGAAATGTATACTATCAAATGATAAAATTAGCTATGTAATGAAAAAGTGAATGTGGTCCTAGAATGTAAAGGATAAGGTAATGTAAACAATGATTAAGAGGTATAACATCAAAATTGATAATGCAGTGGCAAGTGATTAATTCAAGTGATTAATTGAATATTGTATCAATGTGAGTTACAAATTATGTATATCAAGTGCAACATTTTTTATTGACTGGAATCACATCTGTAGCGGTGTTTTAGGCAGAGTAACAATGCATGAGCACTTCATAGAATAATATAAATTCAGGAATGTAAAGTGTGTGTCTCATGAAATGTTAAAGTTCAGTGCTTTTACATTTTTCCATATTATAAAGTAGTTCTTATGGAAAACTTTGTAGAGAAGAGGCTATACTTTTATAAGGCAGGATAAGATCTTTAGCTCCTGTGGCTAAACATGTGATTAACCCTTTCCCGCACGCTACCTTTTAAAGTTAGAGTTTTGATTTAAATAAATAAATAAATAAATAAATAAAAATAGGCAGTCTAGTTAGGCCTAGAGGAGTACACAAGTAAAATTTTGTGAAGATAGCGTTTAATTCTGTGGGTGTGCCCAAAGTGGAGACACTGATTGAATAGAGCTTCGAAAAGAGTGCTGAAACGAACATTGTTGTCAATGAACTGACCGATGAGATGCGGAAAAACAAGGAATACAGACTCTCAGTTGTCCTAGATTATTGGTGAGCCCGGTCTGGGTACACCTAGGGTTCGCCGTTTGATTTTAGGCAAGATTTCTAGGTAAAAATTTAAAACTAATATAGAATAAGGAGATTAGCATACAGCTAAAAAAGATAACATAGAAAGTTCTTTTCAAACAATTCCTTTTATACCCTAAAAAAATCTGGAAGATTCTTTGGAAAATGAGGGTCTTAAAAACCTAAACATGGCTAAAATATATGGACTGGTTTGTGTTGAGCTGCCATCTACTATAAATAAAGAAGGTTCAGAGTAAAAAGAACCTATAAATCCCTTTTCATTCAATTTTTCTGTGCGTACAGAAGGAAAATTTTAGATGTGTGCAGACCGGAAACACTGTGCCGCAAAGGGTTAAATTATAAACTTATTTAGATATGAAAATGATTATCCAGAAATTAATATAGGGAAATTTGTGAACTACGTATTTAATTTAACAATTTACGATGCATGTGAAAAAAAGGAATCTTAACTTATTATGAAAAGAATATATATTCATTGTATAAAAGAATTATAAATTTTATTAAAAATATCATTATTTACTAATGTAATGAAGGAAGTTTTAGATGTTTCATTCATTTTAAATAAAATGTTTGTTGATTTTTCTTAACACTTAGTTTTCTTTGTAACACTTAAAAGTCGTCAGGTTTTATTATTTTCAAATCGTGAAGGAAGTCACGTCTTAGAAAAACGGGAAATGGTCAGCGCTCGTTGCAAGAATATCTTTTTATTTATGTTTTCAAATACTCTGAAGTTCAAAGCTTTTGCGGGAAATACTTATTTTTTTCTGTGTTGAAAATGTAAAAAGTTATTTACTTAATCGCCTATAAAACAGCGTTTATCGGAACACACAAACCTGCTCCAGTGCTCTTGATATTCCTGGAAAGGATAAGGTGTTAAAAGGCATGCTTTTGTATTTGCCGTACACTGACCACAGCATCGTTTTTGGAAAGCTTGGGTTGTATGAAAATGCTGACACAGTAAAACCATTTCGATAAAAGAAAAAAAAGGCTCCTTTGGGCGTGATATAAAATCCGAAAGCTTTCAATTTTTTTATTTTTTGAAAATTTCTTTAAATATAATGCATGCCTGTAATATTTAGTGGCAACAATTTGAAAAGTGAAACGCTGTTTTATAGTGGACTGCTCAAAATGAAATGAATAGCCTTTCTGGGTAAATTGCCCTTATGGGTTAAAAAGGAGTTAGAGGATATGAAGTCAAACAGTTAAGAATGTTGACTAGTTGAAGTATGAGAATCTAGTTTCTGGTAAAAGAGGTTTGTTTGCTCAAACGGCTTTTGTTCAAAGTACATAGCACAGAATGATCGAATGATGCTTTCATTTCGTATGCAATTTAACACATGAACTGCAGAGTATGCTAATGCTTTGTAATATCCAAATTTAATTAACGCAAATTTCATTCAATAATTGAGTGTTTGGTTCTTAGAGTAGGCTATGACTTTTTTTTATAAAATATTTGAATAAAAGAGTATAACAATACATTATTTATCAGTTAATTGAGCCAGCACACTTTTTCATAACTACATCAAGTTTCAAAATCAACTTTTTAAACAAGTCAGAGGATTGCCAATGGGCTTACATTCCAGCACCTCGATCTGTAATATCTTTTTATTTGTCAAAGAATTTAATTTCCAAAAAAATCTACAACCACAAGAGTTAAATTACTACAAACACACCTACAGATATATTGATGACCTTATTACAATTAATAATTTTGATAAAATTGAACACTCCGAGATTTATCCCGAATTATCTTACACTTAATAAAACTAATAATTCACAAAATAGCATAGACTTTCTAGATCTTCAAATCATTAACTACAAAAAAATTTTACTTTTTGACAAAACAAGAAACTTCAATTTCAATACTAACAAATTAATAAATTGGGAACTCCAACATATCCAAAAAAGTAATTAACAATACTATAATTAATCAAATACAACGAATTAAAATTATATGCACAGATACAATAGATTTACAACGCGAAATTTTACTACTTATTAAAATTCTCAAAAATAATCTAATTCCCATTCAATTTATCAAAACATTGCCTTAAAAGAGCAGGCGTTAAATACTCACTCTAAATCATTTAACTGATAGGGATATGATAATTTGTTCCTAAACCTGAGAAGGCGGTATAAGTTGGATGACTGTCAGTTGAAGGATTTGTATATAGTGTAATTACTCAATTGTATATATTGTAAAAAGCTAATTGTCTTCAGACTTATACTGTTACTAAAAAAATGGGCCTATTTCATGACTTTAGTCTAATAGCTCTTGGACAGTGAAAATTCCTTTTTCTTTTCTTAAATTCTTAATCATTGCGACACGACAATTAGCCAGAAATTAATTAATTTCCATTCACTAGTATTTTCAAAAAAATCTTAACAGACAGTCTCACTCAGATAAGAACTCCACATAATACATCCCTCAAGAATTCCAAGTCCCACCCACTACCATAAATTACTTCATCCAAGTCTTACCGACTGATATTATTCAAAGCCCCACTGCCGCTAAGAATTTTCGGACACCCTACACTTATGAGTCAGACACGAAGAGAACACTTTGCCAACTCTCCCACTAGAAAGAATGTAAGTTACTTAATACCTTTTCTGGCCTTTATATCTTCATGTACATTCACTGTTCTTATTATATATTACTTTATATTATTTTTATATTATTTTTATATTGTCTTTGATTTGTTTTTACAAAGTTTGCATTATTTATCTTATTTTGTAATCTTCTATGTTTATTTCAACTTTACTTTGAATTCGATTTCATAATGACAATTTCCAATGTTTAATTTTTACAAATAATATAGAACTCAAATGCATAAACATGAAAGTGTCGAGGACGGTTACTCGGGTTAATTAGGATTTCTCTACAGTAATTGCTTTTTACTCCAAATTGAATTGACTAAAATGCTTCATAAGAATAAGTTCTTTGAGTATCAGCATTGGTTCATAATCCCTTCTATTCGCGGAAATTTTTGGCCTGACTAGAATTGCCGGTTTGGCTTTAACTTATAACTCGAGTAAAGACGAAACACTTTCGTATTTACGTATTTTTTCAATTATTGTTCATTTAACGGGAGTTGGTTTGTTCCCCTTGAAAAGTCAACTAATTTCCGATCAATGACAATGATTACATGTTTTTAAATTTTCCTTTTACAATTGAACTTTTATTCTTCATGATGATTTAACTCCAGTCCCCGTTAAAACATTAACATTTGCTTTCAAATTACTTCAAAACATCTTTCAAAATATAACTTACCAGTATGGATTCACTCTTTTAAAATAATTCTACTTTAAACTTAGGAGATAAATATTATTAATTAATCAATACAGTTTAGGAAATTCAACATTATTAAATGTATTGGTAACTAACTTTGCAGCAATTGCGCAAATAGTAATAACTTTTTTCGCACTAAAATGGATTTAAGATCATACAAAGAGTATTAACATATACATATATGTGAAAAATATCAATTATATATGAGCCATATATATATATATATATATATAATATGTACTTATTTTTCACATTTCCGTATTTTATGATGACAAACAAAATATGTAAATATTACCAATAAAATAATAATAGTTGTTTAATGTCACGGTTTAAGATCTGCATACTTAAATATTGGTAATCACGTAGTACGCGATCTAGCGTTTTTAGTTAGTTATTTATTTCTTAAATGGTACCAATAAAAGGCTACTTTTAAATTCGATGGGGGATAATATTGGCAGACGAAAGAAAGGATTAAAAAACAATCAGTTTGAGTGCTATCATCTAAATAATAAATAACTAACTGAAAGGGGTAGATCGCATACTACATGATTACCTAGAAATTTTACATTGATGATTTTGCAAAGCATTTTGAATCGGAATGGGCTACAAACAGGTTCTAGAAACTCTTTATTTTGCAAATTGTAGCCACACAGAGTACCCCTTTAATTACGCATAATGTCTGCATAGTCATCTTTCATACTTTGAGTAGATAAAAATTATCCAAAGGAAGGGAATTCTGTGACATATAGTTTACGAGAAAATTTTATTGAATATTTGAAATGACTGATAATTTGCACACAAACACAGATATGAAAACTATTAAAATTAATTTTTTTATTTTCGCAGGTTTCATATGGAGAGGCTAAACACATTTTTCTAGAAAATTAAAATTATCCTCCTGTGATAAATATTTGCTTGAAGAAAGCTTCTGATTGTCTCCTGAAATAAAGCATTAAATGGTATTTTTCTGTCACAAAATCTTTTAGTTTGATATCAACTCTAAAGAAAGTTTCATTTTGTCAACTATGATGTTCAAAAATTTGTCATTCAAAAGAAAGATGAGGCATTATCTATTGCTTTTAAAATGTTTGCTTCCTGTATCCGTGAACGTTGTTTGAAACAAAACTTCGAAGAAGTACACTTAATTCAATCAGTAGATCTGGCATCAGCACCTTTATTTTCTGTATATAAACAATAAAAAATTCTAATATTATATCTGAAACATGTCATAATAGTATACATAAAATTAAACAAATTAATTGCTTTCAAGATAGCTTCCATTTTTTTTCAAAATCAAATTATATCTTATTATATTAGATAAAAGATCATCCTCTTATCTTCTAATATCATTATCGATTACAAATTATATCTGACATCACAGAGAACATGAAATCCAATGTCAACTCATCACATCAAAAAATAATTTTCTCGGTTTTTCAAGAGAATAAAATGTATGCGATTTTAAGGGGCAGGAACAGTCTCACCAACATTTTTCTTGCTTCTTTTATATTCAGTTGTCATGAAACCTGTAAAAGTAAAAAAAAAAAAAAAAAAAAAAAAAAAAAAAAAAAAAAAAAAAAGGTAATTAATTATGTATGAAGAACATCAGATTTTTTTTAAGGTTCGCTGTGTTGGATACTATATTGCCATGACTTTGAGACGACACAAAATGCTGAAGAATACTTTGTGACCCAGACTACGATGCGTTTGAAAATTGCATATATTAAAAGAGAAAATGCAGTAAAGCACAGTTAACACGCTATTCAATTTTTTCGTTCAGAAAGATATATTAATAAGAGGGATGTATAACCGACATTTTAATTTAGATTACGATGAGTTGCATACATTGCTTTAAACAGTTTTAACATTGTGCCCATTGCTTTACCCAATTTTATCATACTACATTTATTTTTAAAACGTTATTCATATTTTAGTCAAACATTTTATTTTTGAAATCGCAATTGCAAGAATAAAATATCATAAAATTTAAAAAAAATACTAAATTTTATGCAAAAATTTATTTTTTCTTCTTAATAGCTCTAGCTCTTTTATTTTCAGGCATTCTGCAAATATATTAAAAGCATCTAACTTTTCGAAACATCTTGGTATTTCTGATATTAATTTTAAATAAAGTTATCGCCTTCCATTGAAAAGGAACCACAAACGGCCGAGCGGTAAAGTCGCTGAACACTAGTAGTTCGCTTCGGGGTTCGAATCCCGGCGAACGGGATGGTTGCATGGGCGTTTTCGAGGTTTTTCTCATGTGTAACGTCTATACGAGCTGGTTTCGCTTAGAAAGTTCTTCACGAAGGCATACTTCCTTTTAAGAAGATAGCCCTGCTTTGCCGCAACTTAATAATCCAATTCAATCCATTTCATCAGTATTTGGTTCAGAACCTTTATCAGTCTTTAGACGCTAGACATTTTGAAGGCATGCGATGAAAGGAAAGACTGGTTTCATCAAGAGGAAAAACGTTTTTAGATGATATCCGTATACGTCACCGAATAAATTCCGGAATCTTCAAATAATTCGACTGAGAAATCATGGGATACTCCGTTTATGATATAATATGATGTGCTGTGAATTAATTTAAATTAATTTTTGTCTTATCCGTTAGCACAAACTCAATTGCTGCTATTTGCTGGTCCAATTGTTTTCTCTTTGAACGCCCAACTTCCTTGAAGTAGATTCCCCTTTAATTTTTTTCCCTTCCTTCAGCATATTTTTTTCAGTGCTGACAAAAGAAAATTAAGATTTTTCGATTTTTACACTTCAATAAATTTTGCATTCTTGTGAAATTTTTTAAAATATCAGTTGCATCAAATGCGTTTCAACTGAAGACAACTTTTAATTTTTTAGACATTTTAACTATAAATAAAGTTTAAAGCAAAGTCCAAAGAATAAATATTTGAATTAATAGATTTTTGTTAAATGAAAAAGAAATAAACCACTCCAGCAGCGCTTATCCTGTACCACCACCGAGTGACCCGACTCTTATATCGGATGCAAACAATCTAAATCATATTATTTAGAATTTTTAAGCCTAATAATTTCTTTTTTAAAGAAGATTTTTTTATAATCTACAATACTAGAGGAAATTACTACTTAAAACATTCTTTCTACGAGGATTAATGTAAAAATTTATATATATATATATTTTAAAGCTGGGACATGATCCAACTTTCAAAGTCCTGTTTGCTTAAAAACATTTTGAAAATAAACATCAAACGAACTTTCTCAGTTTTAGACAAGTCAGTTTAAATGAAGTTAAAGTAAAGTAGCAGACGATAACACGGCGAAGGTAAAAATTTTACTCTTACAAATATTAAAGAAAAGGAAGAAAGAATAAAAAATATTAAAAATTTGAATAATGTCATCTATAATTTTTTTAAAGAGCTTTTAATATAGTATTAATAAATATTTAATACGCATCATTGCGAGAAAATAATTCATATAATTAATTCTCCGTAAAAATGTATTTAAAATTTAAGGTTAAAAATAGCTGTGGCAGTTCACCGTAACAAAATCCATAAACCACATTTGGCGTTATTATAACTCAGGGAAAAAAAATGCCAAATTTCAAAACGCGCAAATATGTAAATTTGTGTATATCTTAGAAAATTTTGAATAAAAAACTCTAATTTTTTGCAGGTATGCTTAGAACTACACCTACTTTAATATGGTGGTAAAAATATTTATAGGTTATAATTCAAAAGTTTTTTCGAAAAATTTATAAAAAAATATTTAAAAAAAAGAAATTTTAAAAAATAAAACAAAAAAATGGGTGAATTGAATTTTATTTGGAATGAACCTAAATTTCGAAATGGGAAAGGAAGAATCAAAAATGTTTAATAAAAAATTGATATTAATAAATGTAAAACCAAGTTCAATTAACATTGAGGAGCTAAAATTTTGAGAGCTCATTTTTTTAAAAACTAGGCGTACGATTTTTACAAAACTTAGTAGTCTGACATAATTTGAGTCATAGAATCGAATTATAGAAAAAACTGATATGTTATTTCAGAAAAAGCCCGATTTTGTGTCAAAATACCTATGTTAGAATAGTATATCCTAAGTCGCGCTTTCGAGATATGAAAAATGCAATTTGAATTTTCGCAATCGGCTCAGTAGAACGGGAAATATAGAACTGTGTCGACCCCCCCTTTTTTTTTTTTTACGCAGTGTACCTTTTAATAAATAAGGAATATAATCTTAGCTCTTTTTCGCATTTGCGATTATTTGACGCAATGCGTTACTTTTCACCTAAAGTATAATTTACAACTAGCTGTGGCACAGGAAGTACTTCTCCATTGGGAAGTAGACATGAGATTGCTGCACATGACTATTTCTTAAAATAACGTATAGGCTTTTAGAGTCATTTATATATGTAAAAAGTTTACTAGATCTTGGGTCCCTTCAAGAGGATCGGTATTGCGAAAGGTATGAAATGCTTCAACCACTCTCGAAAGCGAATCATGCATAATTTACAGTAGAAGTGCGGTGTTTATGCGCTTATTATGGTTGTCAGTTTAGGATCAAAATAATGTTCGCAATGCTATTCTCACCGGATAAACGATTAATAGTCAAAACGTGACCCATAATAGAAACAAATATCATGTAGAAACAAATAAACAAATATCATTGCGATTAATGCACTCATGAGATATAATGATGTCTCTCCACACTTGATCATGAGTTGCTTATTTCATGCTACCCTGACTGATGTAAATTAAATGAAAGCATCATGTCAGACTTTCCAACATCATCTTCTTCAATGGTTTCAAAACATACATTGCCATTCATTTCGAGTTTCTACTGTTTACATCTCTAAGGCATTTTAAAGAACTGTAAAAAATGTTACGAGGGAAAATGAAACATTAGTATCTCAGAAAATGTGAACAAATTTCTGTTTCTAGTGATAACTATGGATACTACTGACGGTATGTTTATTTCAATTAGTTAAACAATTCAGAGTTACGTAATTTCGCTTAAAATACTACCGTATTAACTCTAGATTGTAAGATATACACTGGTATGCAAAAATTAAGGACGAAGTCGAAAAATTAGCATATCAGCTGAACGAAGAGGCAGAGTGAACAGAAAGACGAATCAGGAGATTAAGTAAGGTGATGTACGGTAGCACATGCGCAGATATGCAGGTAGACGTGGGGGAGTGTCTGAGTAGTATAAAGCATGTTGTCGGTGTAAGATCAGTATTTCTGGCAAAGAGATTGCACGCCGTATAGCAGTTAAAATCACACCGAGTTGCTGTCTCAGCGAGAAATGGCGAATAATCAATCTGTTAGACGACATCTGGATGCTTTTACCCGACGTCGAATCATTGGGAAGTTGGAGGAAGGCCGCAGTGTGACAAATGTGGCTGCAGAGTTCGGAATTGCTCACAGCATCGTTTCACGACTTTGGAGACAATTTCAAACTACAGGAACAGCTATCCGGGGGTTTATTAGTGGTCGTCCACGAGGAACCACACCCGCAGATGACCGGTATATTGCCTTACAGGCCAGAAGAAACAGGCGGCAGACAGCGGTAGAAACGCTAGACACACGACACGACTTCAGAAGTTAACCTATAATTTTTAAAAAACTTTTAAGGAAATTTGTCAGAAGAACATATCATTTACGTAATCCTTTTATACTTCTCTGAATGGAAAAATATTTAAGCCCCAAAATGAATTTTCTTTTTTTTTCATATTCATATAAAAAAAATCGCAAAAAAATAATTTTTGATAATCGGTGTAACAAATGTACTTTATTATTAATACCATGTCAGGTGTAAATCGAAGTTTATGTAACTTCGACTGAAATCTATTCTAAAATATTTCTCAAAAGCTGTTCATTCCAGCTGAAACATAAAGTACTAAATATGAGTTTAAAATTTCTTTGTAAATCAGAGCGGTAGTCAACCAGTTTCAATAATAACTGCTAATACCTACACAAATAAATCATCATTAAAGCGGAATTTTGAAAAAAATCAAAATAAACGCGCCAATAAATAGAAAGCTTTTGGAAAGACCAGAGGTATCAACTTCTATCTGTTACAAATATCAGATGTATGATTTTTGACAAAATTTAATATGATACTGAGAATATCTACTAATAAGAAATTGGGCTTTGGAGTCTATCACATTTTTTTTTCGCCGGCAAATTTAACAGTTCAAGGTTTAAAAATGTTGTAGGCCGTATTTGACACCTTAAGTTACTTCACACTACAATTTTCAACGCATTTCTTAATGACAGTCCAACAAAACTGAAATACAAAGGAAATTACTCATATAAAGAACTTGCATCGAAAGTAAGAAAATGTTAATATACTTTAGTATAAAATAAACTGAAATTTTAGGCATTCATTAAATTATAATTTTAATATATTAATAATCTGATATTTTTAGACTTATAAAACTATAAAAAAGCTTATTGATTTAATCAAAATGTAGCAAGTTTTCTAAAATCTTTTCTGTGTTTTAAGTAAAGATTATTTAGGTATTTAAATCTATTTCAAATTTTTAAGCATAGAATAGAATTCTTAATAAAAAATTTATTTCTAATATTACATGGATCAATGGATAGTATAAACTATATTGTATTTTAGGTGGATTAAACGCACATTTACCAAAATGCTAGAGTGTAGACGATTTAACATCAAATAATGTTTATAAAGAAGAGATAAATTCAAGATGCATCAATGTCAAATTAAATTTATATCTTTACAAGATTTGTACATAGACTTTTGAAGAATTATCTCCAAATGCAAAATGAAATTTAAATGAAAGGCTGTTTCAGTCAAAAACATTTTTCAGATTTATGCAAAGCAAAAAACGCGTAAATTAATATTATCTATTAGATATTAATAACATAGTGACAATGAATGCTATGCAGAATCAAAGTTACCTGAATACTTTTGGAAATCTATATGTAAAATACTAAGCGGATTAGCCTCCTAAGGTGACATAAAACGACACAGAAAATAATTATAGATAATTAATGGTTCAAGCAATAAAATGTGGAATGTATGCAATTCCAAAACGATCTGTTGAAAATACTGCTGTAAGCATCATATATAATTTCTTTTCGATATCCAGTGGCAAAGAAAATTTGGCAGGTGAGGGACAATGAAATGAGAGAGAGACAGAGAAAGCAAAAAAGTAAAATTAGAAAGAATTATACACATTACCTGCAGGCATTCATCTGTCCATAGAATTATGACCGCCAGAATAGCTAACCATCGAACAAACAAGCACAAAATTAAAATGCTTCAGTTTATTTCTACCACCACTTGAGCGTTTAAATTAAATGTACGAAGTAAATTAACAGTCAACCTGCCTGGTTTCATTATAAATATTCCTTTCACAATTATATCAATTCAGCAATTTAAATCTAACCTAGCAAAGACTACAAGCGGCAAATTTCGAACACACACTTACAAGAATCTCAGTTTAACTTATCCCTTGCAGAACAGCCTTTTCTTCGTTCGGCAGGGCAGCGGAAGAAGGCCGAACTTCACATTCCTATTTTTAATCTTTAATTAGTAAAATTACTTGCCACTCAAAATCTATATAAATTCGAAATGAGATTGAGCCAGAAAAAGGCAAAAAAAAAATTAAATAAAATATTTCTTTAATAAAACTTAAATGTAAATGACAATATACTTGTAGAAAGAATCCCCCCCCCGTAACTTTCCATATACTTCACCTACGAGTATAGATCTCCTTATGCATTCATTGAAAAAAGTAACGGCACGATTCACAGTATGTAGGAACATATAGGTATCAAGTGTATGCATAGAAAATCGCGAAAAGTGTATATTTGATGACCGGTATGATTTATTTTGCAAATTTAGTGACCTATTTAAAAGGAATGTCCATTCACAAATGCAGGTATACGCGCTACTATACATTTTTCGGTTCTTAGAAAACATTAGTTATTAATTACCATATTAATAACACATTATTCTTAGATTATTGTGATTGAAAAAAATACAGAGGTATTACCACATGCTATTACCGTAAAATTACACTTTAATCATATTAATGTTCTCGACTAACAAGAGTTTTTTCTTGCAAGATTACACGCTCCTTAACTCGATGTTTTGAAAAAGTAGAGACTAAATGCATAAAACATCTCCATAGCTACCGAGAAAAAAGCAAAACTCAAGTAACGAATTTATAAATAACAAAGAGATATAAAAAAAGTGACATAAACAATGTGTAATTAGGACAGCGTATTATTGCATCCTTCGGGCTTTCTAATGTCTTATCTCTGATCCTCACTTAACGGAACGTACTCGGTATACACTGGTGTGCAAAAATTAAGGACGAAGTCGAAAATTAGCATATCAGCTGAACGAAGAGGCAGAGCGGACAGAAAGACCAATCAGGAGATTAAGTAAGGTGATGTACGGTAGCACATGCGCAGATATGCAGGTAGACGTAATGGGGGAGTGGTCTGAGTAGTATAAAGCATGCATGTTGTCGTTGTAAGATCAGTATTTCTGGCAAAGAGATTGCACGCCGTATAGCTGTTAAAAATCACACCGAGTTGCTGCCTCAGCGAGAAATGGCGAATAATCAATCTGTTAGACGACATCTGGATGCTTTTACCCGAGGTCGAATCATTGGGAAGTTGGAGGAAGGCCGCAGTGTGACAAGTGTGGCTGCAGAGTTCGGAATTGCTCACAGCATCGTTTCACGACTTTGGAGACAATTTCAAACTACAGGAACAGCTATCCGGGGTTTAGTAGTGGTCGTCCACGAGGAACCACACCCGCAGATGACCGGTATATTGCCTTACAGGCCAGAAGAAACAGGCGGCAGACAGCGGGAGAAATCGCTAGACACACGACACAGGCGACTGGACGACCGATATCGCGTTTTACCGTGGCCAGAAGACTGCACGGTGGTGGTCTGTTTGCACGACGCCCTGTACGGTGTGTACCTCTAACGCCTGCCCATCGGAGAAGGCGTTCTCTGTGGTGCCGGGAACACCGGAAATGGAGAGACAATGAATGGGGACGAGTACTCTTTACAGATGAGAGCAGATTCAGTCTGAGTAGCGATTCTCATCGCATACTCATCTGGAGAGAGCGGGGAAGCCGCAATCATCCTCGAACATCATTGAAAGGGACAGGTATGGAGGTGGCGGTGTTTCTCGTTTGGGGAGGCATCATGCTTGGTAGTCGTACAGATCTTCACATCTTCGACGCAGGTTCAGTCAACGGGACCCGTTATTGTAACGAGATTCTTCTTCCATATGTGCGTCTTTTTAGAGGCGCTATGGGTCCGCAGTTCCTTTTCATGGACGACAATGCACCATGTCATCGCACAATAGCTGCCGAACAGCTCTTAGAGAGTGAGGATATTGAACGTATGGATTGGCCGGCACGATCTCCGGATCTCAATCCCATCGAGCATGTATGGAATTTTCTAGGCAGACGCTTGGCAGCTCGTACCTTACCACCAGTAACGATTCCGAAGCTTCGATTGGCGCTGCAAGACGAATGGGCAGCAATGCCTCAACAACTCATTGACACCCTCATTCTCAGCATGGGCAGACGCTGTGAAACCTGCCTAGCAGTGAGGGGAGATCATATCCCCTATTAAAGACCGGATGTTCTTGCTGGACACCCATCACAGGGATGTTTCGGCCTTCAGTCGCATTGCGCTCCATGCTACTTTTTCAATAAAGCTTCTTTTTATCCCTCTGATTTCTCTTTTAGTAAGTGTTGCTTACATTACTCATGTCCTTACGTATTGGGGATTTTACGGTATTAAATGTGTTGATTTGGAAGGCTTTTGTACAAAGTTATATTGAAAAAACCGTCTCGTCCTTAATTTTTGCACACCAGTGTAAAGCAATTCTGGTAAACAGCACAGTACTGAATTGGAGAAAAAAAGGAACATCACTGTAGTTAAACTTTTACTACTTTTCAAAAAGAAATTGTAAACAATAATGAATACTTACTTGACAAAATGCAACAAAAGAACAGATTGATGCACAAAACTCCATTAGAAGCGAGAACACTTACGTTTGTCATTATAAAAGAAGATATTTCAGTTAAAGCAATTCCAAATACCTGAAAGAGATTTTCTTTTCACGATAAGAAATTTCACATTTATTAATTAGTAAACAGAACAGTGAATCAAGCAATAGGTGGATTTTTCTTTATATGCATTTTAATGGATAATTATAGTTTTGACAGCTGAAGAATTACCTTAAAATTAGAAGTAAAAGCGATCTGCTTATTTGCTCTGAAACGACAATCTATTAAAAACATGTAACTGACAGCTCTTAGCAGTACGCACCATACTACTACTGGGCTCTACTCCTATAAAATACCTTTGAATATATCTTTTCTTTGATGCTAGATACTCTTAAATTACTATTGCATCTGGTACATATTAGTGCTACGATTCCTCTTTATGACCAGTCTCATTGGTCTCAAACATCCATTGCAAGTTTCAAGCATTCATAGTGCCGTTTGCAGTTTCACCCGGATTTTACGTAGTTCTGGTACATGCTTGTGACATTTTGTCATTGAATTCGCTAAAAATTTACCGTTGTGGTGTCTGAATATATCGTAGCTTTCCTTTTTCTACGGTTGATCTCAATCGAGTAAACATTTCCGCCGTGGTTCATGGGTTGCTTTCTACAGAATGTTCTTCAGTTCACGGAGACACATTCTAAGCCCTTATTGGTTTACTTTGCATATTGTGACAGAGATTATTATAATTGTTTGTCTTTTCGGTTACACAGAGCTAGGTTACCTGTAATTAAATCAATGTCGACTGATGAAGTTATAAGATTTCTCGTATATTAGGTAAAACTTACACTTAAAAATACTACGTTTAAAACTTCGATGTAAGCGCATTTTCTAAAAGAAGTTTGTTTCTTTGTAACACTATTTCTGAATATATTTCGAAATTCATCCTATTTGCAGTAATTTGTTTGAGCTGTTTAATAAGAACGATACAAAAACAAAAGTTACTATGAAATCTCATAAAAGCTTGCTGTAGAATTTTATTTAGCTTGCTATAGAATTGTATCTTAAACTAAAGATCTGTGCCGGAAAACTGTGATTAGTCAAAGCGTTTACTAGAAAGTTTTCTCACTTTCACATGAAATTAAAAAAAAATATGTGCTTTCTTTGAAGGCATCTTTAGCTCTTGTCCTTAGTTACACCATAATGGTTGGGAATAATGTTACGTAAGAGCAGAATATGCGATCCATAAGATTATCCATAAAATGTAATGAAATGATATCGTTTACTTTATGTGAAAAGTGTAAAGATATAAATAACTCGTATTCTATGCATATGGGGCAATATAATGAAATTTACCGTAAATTTTTCTTTCTTATAAAAAAAAAGATATTTTGACAAAATTCCTCATCGTAGTCAAATGTTACGTTATGATATTAAATTTATAAAATATAAACATAAAGAATTAAATATATTTCTTAATGCTATTTGACATTGATTTTGCGTCTATAACAAAAATGGGTCATCATCAAATAAGTACTGATCATATCAAATACATTCCAAACATGCCCTTGAGTAAACAGATTAAGATGTCGAGAAAATTAATCCAACTGACATCTTTAGCTTATCCTCGCAGTGCTTTCCAATGATCCATATTTTTCTGAAATTTTTCATTTGTAACCAGAACTCATAAAGCTGATTCATAATCGAAGATTTTTGTCATAGTTTAGAAACTTAACTAATTTTTCATTTCTCCGGCTTTTTCAATAAACCTAATGTCTCTGCAATGTGAACTTGTTTTAGATACGAAATAAGAGAATCAAAACCATTTCTGATCCTCTAATAAAGCTCCTTTAAAGCGTACAATTTTAGACTACAATAGTATGGTATAATAATATAGTTATTCTAGAATGCACACTTACCATAGCTGAAAGTGTAAGTAAACTTGCCGATATAATTTCCAAATCTGGGTAAGTCAATTCAATACCATATTCATAACCAACAGAAATGTAACTGATCAAAAAGAAGCTAAAAATAACAGAAACTTTCACGTTATCAAAAGTAAATTTTCGACAAACAGCAAAGTATGCCATGAATACACTCTGATAAATAAACAAAACATAATGCTTATTTATTTCGAATTTTATTTCGGGTGTTATTAATGCTACTTGGCTTTAAAGATATTTCAAAGCCTCAATAATAATTGCTTTAGTTTCAAATAAATGTTCTCTAATATTGAGATATTCATCAGAAACATGTTTCTTCATAAGGAAAGATTTATGACAGGAAATGATTATGATATAGGAAAGATTTATGATTTTTTTTATAATTTATTTATTTAGTCCTCAACCGGGGACAGGTACCTCCAGTTATGACAGGAATTTCCACTTAGCCTAAGTGGAGGATTTCATGGTTTAAGATGATGGCTTTTGGTACTGTATGATGGACTCAAGCTGCAATAAAAGACTCACAGTAATGAGCAGTTATAAGGTTGCTGAAATGATTGTCCTCAATGAATCTGAAAAAGATAAATGAAATCAATATTAAGCAGTGTAAAACGGATAAGATTGTTTCCTTTTTTATGCCTTTTAAGTATAATAAAATTTTATACATTTACCGAGGCTGTTCTCTATTTCCCATCTAACGAGGATAGCGTTCTTTGGGATTACCAATAGTTATTATTATATTATTGTTAGTTTATCAATTCTTAGGATTACCAATATATGTTATTGTGAGTTTTCCTATATTAAAAGGGGTTTGAGAAATATAATTAATTGCAATGATGATATTTATAAACATTGTTACAATTTTGTACTTATATAGGTAATTTTAATGGAATTATAAGTAAAATTGTTGAATTCTTTTGTATAATGTAACATGAAAAATCTACAGAGACAAGCTATGCCGGAAATGTAAGAATAGGCCATTTATCATTCAGTAAATGGGCCGCCAAGCTGACAACGGTTTTGGAGACTTATTTTGTTGCAACATTTGGCAAGAAAACGCAAAATATCGCCAAAGTTTGACGACCATTTGGTGACCAACCCTGTGTCATCGTAATATTATAAATGAATAAATGTAATTGAAAAATTGCCAAATGTGGCTACCATTTGGCGACACTTTCGTCCGACCCCTGTATCACCGTAATGCTGTAAATGAATAAATGTAATTAATCATTATATTAGCTGTAACCTTTATTCTACATTCATATTGCTTTCCAGTAATTTTGAGGAGCAGAAAGTACTAGAAATGTCTCAGTGACTGGGTGAAAACTGCATAAGGACGGAGAGAGAGCATCTGTTCTCAGTTGTTGCTTTTGATGGGAATTGTTAGTTCAGTGAAAGATCAGAATACTGAGATATGATGATCATCAGAGGGTCCATGTTCATCCTCATAGTCATCGTATCATCGTATCATCAGCTTAAGATCATGGCTCCTCATAGTCATCGTATCATCCTCATAGTCATCCATAGGCGCACTCCAATAGGAAAAGCTTTTATCTTGAGGAAGAACATCATGGTTGGGCTTAGGATCATGGCTCGCCATGAGAGCAGCCAGATGCGATTTGCATTGCGATGCGTTTAACATCCTTAGTATTTTGAAGTGTAACTACAGGTTGTACTCTGTGATATTGTGAACATCAGTACGAGTATTTCTGTGGAATGTTCCAGAATTTTGAAAAGTTTCTTTTGATAAAATAAGTTTTATTAAACTGTCATCGGACCTGTGTGCATTCAATCTATTACGAACCTATACGAACGCAACAATATTTATAACATAGGTTTTTAGAAGTGGCAAATATTTTACTAACAATCTTATTTTCACTGATAGAAATATTTCACTTGTATAAATAAATTGAGAAATGAATCGTATGGAAAAGCAGAGTAAACCTATTCCACAAACCAGTCCATAAATATAAACCTTCAATTTTCTCCGACCCTTAAGATCCACAGAATCCACAGATCCCAGATCCACAGAATGTGTTCCTCAGTCTTCTGAGGAAGGTTTTTTTTTTTTTTTTTTTTTTTCTTTTTTTTTCAAATAACATAAAGCCGCTGCTGTTCATTATTTCTTGGTATCCACAAAAAATGTCGAGGCGAAATGATTCTTTTCTAAATTTTTGAGTACAATAAATATTTTCAAACGGCAACAAAATTGTTCGCAAATAATCCTTGTAATATGTAGCTATTTCATTAGTATTTATAAGTTAGCAGCAGCATTGTAATCATTTATATTCCTGAAATGCTTTCCAAAAGTAATAAAGGAAGCAATCATAGCTGTGATCAAAGAAAGCAACTCTAAATTTGAAACTGTAATATGTCATAACAGATTTAAAGGGACTTTAAATATGCCACGTAATTAACATATTTAATGATGTATTAGTACCACTGCTCTATTTTTCTATTTCTTCCACTATAGAAAATATATTTTAATAATTTTTAGATAAATATTTTACGTAAAGTTTCATTGATAAGTGTAAAAGTAATAGAACAAGTTTAAAAGAATTAAAAACTTTATATGTCCCTTTATATTATACTAACATGAAATATTTTAAACTTTAGATTTTGTTTCAGAGACGACAATGAGGGGGGACAGCTGCTGTTCGTTATTTCTCGGTATCCACAAAAAATGTCGAGGCGAAATGATTCTTTTCTAAATTTTTGAGTACAATAAATATTTTCAACGGCAACAAAATTGTTCGCAAAATAATCCTTGTAATATGTAGCTATTTCATTAGTATTTATAAGTTAGCAGCAGCATTGTAATCATTTATATCCATATATAAATATTTTACGTAAAGTTCATTGATAAGTGTAAAAGTAATAGAACAAGTTTAAAAGAATTAAAAACTTTATATGTCCCTTTATATTATACTAACATGAAATATTTTAAACTTTAGATTTTGTTTCAGAGACGACAATGAGGGGGGACAGAAATGACATTTTGACATATCATTAGAAAAGGAGAATGGGGTAAAAAGATCCAGAAATTTTGAGGTGAAATATTCATAATGGCACAAAATTAGATGTTTTTTCTAAGCAGTAATTACGAGTTAGAATTAGCGATATTTAGGTTTTTGTGAGCATGCAATAAATTAAGTATTTTACCAGGTAATGTATCATTATCGTAAAAGTTTACAATACTGCTCAAAACTAAGGTATTTCAAAACATGAATGATAACTTCTTTAGTTTCAAATAAATATATCTAGTATTAATATAGTCACCTTAAAGATGTTTTTCCTCTTCTCATAGTACACCCTAAAGCTAAAGATTCTTAAAGATGAAAGTAATTATTAAAGATTTTCAACAATTTTCTCTCAACCACACGAAATTTTTATTAAGCAGCATAGACGTGAGATGATTACTGTAAAAGAATATCTAGAGGTTGAAGCAGAAATATACCCTCACTTTTGAAATAAATGTAATGTGCTATGACATAATTATAGAGGAAAATATTTAATGATAAATTAAGTTTGAACTATTACCTTTAAATTTCAGATAACAATCACATAGTGTAGATTACAATCATTAGCCGATGCAATAGCAAGTTACAGTAGGCAACATGGACGTTTGCTCTTGTAATTGTGCATGCTGTAAATGCTTATTGCCCAGCATGATACATACAATGAAGAAGAGACTGCCCAAATGCCCAAGCCGGGAAATCTTTGAGATCTGACTGGTATTGTTATGTATTGCTCTTCAATTTCAGGACTTTATAATGGTCTCATCTTATTTCCCGTAGTCTTAACACTGGCATCAAACGCTGCGGTTGTGTATACAGCTAACGTTTTATAGTATATCCCTGTTCTCTTTATCATTACAAGTGCTTCACCTGTGTATACCTTATGTCTCAAAGTAAAATTTTGTTATTTAAGATTTGAACTTTCAGTGATCTTTTGCTTTTCGTTGATTTAATTAGCCACCATTTTATTACTGATAATTAGTTTAACAAGGTTAGTTTAAAAAGAATTATCACATTCCTCAGTGCTCGTGTTTTTAGTGTAACTGGTAGGTACTACGTCGAACTCGCAATTGTGAGATCTGTCGTTTGAATTCTTTCAAAGGAGACCGAGTTGATGTTTCCGATTTACCGATTCGAAGAAAATATTATGCTTCTACAGACTTGTATTGGTCTTCTACGAAGAAAATTTGTGGTTTCTGGACTTTTTCTTGGAGTAGGATTAAAAAGAATATCATGCAAACCTTTTATGCTTCTAAATCAAACTTGGATATTATATTACAAAATTTTAAATGATAATAAAAAAAA